CGAAGCGTAGGAGGCCACCAGATAGATCAAACGACTCCTCTATATGCCGAGGTTTGCGCAAAACTCGATTATGCGAACAGTTCGACGAGATATGCACGAAAATCTTTAATGACGGAAAAATGTCCAACCCGGGGATCGAACCGGGGACCTATGTCAAATTCATTGATCGAATCAATAGACGTCGACTAAGTGAGCTCCACCCCTTCGTCACGAAGGCCTAGTTATTATTTCGTATTGGTGATAAAAATAATCATGTATACATATTTATATACACGCGGGTGAGCATAATTTCCCCCACTGGTCTTTATGGGTGACGAAAAATACGCTAGCGGAGCGAAGTTTTTTTAGGTACGGCATGGTGAGCTGTAAAATGGACGAGTTTTTCCAAGATTGGTTGTCGACACCGCAAGCAACGAAACTTGTGAAGAGGCTGATTGCTCTGGCGAATAATGGTGATGAAATCTTGCGATCTTGCTCTCACTTGCATTTCCTCAACGCAGATGATGCTACTCTTGCAGCCCTGGCGAGTTCTCCTCATAATACGCCTTCTTCTGGCACGGCAATTCCGGCGACTTGTCGATCGCCTAGTGCGGGTCTGGGATTGTGAGTTTAGTGGGAGGAATGGTTTTTTATTTAGTTGAAAAAATGTGGAAAGTTTGAGGGAAAATTTTTCTCTGATTTTCGGATTTTTTTCCCGGAAAGTTGGTGGGAATTATTGAATTTTGGCTAAGTTAAGATGCGGTGAAAGTTTCACACTCAGGGGAGAAATGTACGATTTTATGTTTTCACAATTTCGTATTAGGCGGTGGTGGGTGTAAAAAAATCCGTGTTAGGAGTTATTCACGCGAACGTTTTACACATTATTTGGGAAATTTTTCTATCGCTTTGAAGATTTTTCATCAGGTCGCCATCGCACAGTCCGGGAGGGACCAACGGCTCGTGGGAAGAGGAGTTGCTGTCGGCGCCTCCACCGTAATGGACGTGGGGGGGATCGAACCGGGGACCTTTCGATTACCCGCAGGTACTTCACGCTGAAGGATGCGAGTCCGCAGGCTAGCGCAGTTATCACGCCGAAATCACCGGGAAGGAGGTGAGAATATCTTAGGTTCCCGCGGGGAAGATACGGATGAGGTTCCCTTAGGGCATCGGATGCTGATCAAGCTCAGACTGTTGTGGAAAAACAGTAAGGGAGAGGGGGGGGGATTCGATCCGGGGACCTTTTGATTGACAGACAGAAGGTTATCTCGCCGAGCAATCGGTCGAGTCCTAAGTCTGGGGCTTCTGGTCAGCTCACTGTGACGGGCTCAGAGTCGGGGGCGACGCCGAAGAAAGCGATGATGACGAGTATAGAAGGGGTGGGGTTGGGATTTGGAAAAGGAGTGGTATGAATAATTAATTTTATTTGACAGGCGCCTTCTTTGATTGGTCGAGGGGCGGAAATTATTCCGCGATTTTTCGTACCGGTTAAGTCGCGGCGCGCGACGGATCCTTTGACTACGCGAGAAAAAGAAGTTATCAATGAGCTCTTTCAAGAACTGGGAGGTGGGCGGAGCGAAGCGATTTTTGTTTTCTTTTGTTTTTTCGTATTTGATGGGCGTGGAATTTGAGGCAGACTAGGAATTTGATAATCGTGGGAGATTTTATCCGGTGTTGTGACGTTTTTACCCAGGTCCAATCGATCCAATGGACGAGGATTGCTTCTCTATATGGCAGACTTTCTGCAGCGAACAGCTGTGCGTCTCGATGTAAGGTTTATACCGCCTGGTTCCGCTGGATAGTTTTATGGCGCGTGACGAACGTTCATGTTATACCGTCTTGAATTTCGTGGCGCGTGACGGAACGTTCATGTTATACCGTCTTGAATTTCGTGGCGCGTGACGGAACGTTCATGTTATACCGTGTTGAATTTCGTGGCGCGTGACGGAACGTTCATGTTATACCGTGTTGAATTTCGTGGCGCGTGACGGAACGTTCATGTTATACCGTGTTGAATTTCGTGGCGCGTGACGTTTTTTCAGGTATTTTGCTGATCCTATTTTGCGTCGGATACGTTCATTTAATGGTGCCGATGAAAGTGCTGCTGTGACGAAAGAGATGTTCATGAAGTAATTTCGTGGCGCAGTGACGATTTATGGACCTGAAAAGTATCTTGATCGATTTAGATATTGGCGAGGCCTCGGCCTTGAGCTGGGAAAAGCGTACGAGAACTTCTTTAATATAGTCCGTAAAGACACCAGCGATTGCATCGTTAAAAACGACTTCCGAGAGTTCGTTTGGGGTGAGTCGACGAGATAATCGATTATCTGGGCGAGCGCTATTGACATTTTGTTTTTCATCAGTTTTGCTGGACACTCATCCCGGGTTGGAGTTCCTACAGGATACGCCTGAGTTCCAAGACCGGTACACTGACACGGTGTTGTGCAGAATATTTTATTGCTGTGATTCGAAGCAGTTGGGAAGAATTTCTCTGAGAGATATAAAGGTGACCTTTTTGAAACGGTTGATCGATTTTGATGTAGTTTATTAGAGTTTTACCCTAGTGATGTGAAAAACCTACTCCACGACCACTGCAAACCGCGAATTTCGCGTTTTTCACCGAGTTTTACGCCACTCCACGTAAAATGTGTTAATAGATCGTAATCCTTGGTGATTAAAGAAAATGAAATTTTTAGGGAGGGAGAATTTTTTTTGTTTTTTTCGGGAAAAGTTTATTTCCACTCGAAGAGACTTCGTACTACTATGTAGGTTGTTTTCATTTTGAGGGAATTTTTGCGGGAAATTTCCGGAAAAATTTTCGGTGTTTTTCCTCAGAGATCTCGACCGTCTCTTGTGGACACTTGGCTGGAGCTCGATCAGTGCGAGGACATCAACAAAATTCGGGCGTATTTTTCATACGAGCACTTTTACGTTTTGTACTGTAAATTTTGGGAACTAGATGAAGACCATGATTTTCTGTTGGATAAAGTAAGAGTGATTCTATCGCGTGAATTTTTTGTTCTCTATTGCTTGAGATGAGGGATGCCTTGTTCTGACCTGTTTTGAATCTTGCACGGGG